GATATCCTCGTCTTTGATTTTCAGTATTTTTACTATGATTTGTGTCTGTTTGCTGGTTTCTTTGTATTTATTCTACTTAGAGTTTGTTGCGTTTCCTCTATGTATAGGTAATTGTTTTTCAAAAAATTTTGGGCTTTTTCAGCAATTGTTTCTTTGATTTTTTTTTCTTTTTGTTTTTCTCTTCTTTTGGAACTCCCATTCCATATATATGGTGTGCTTAATTGTGTCCCATCTTTCTCTGAAGCTGTTTTTCTTTCCCCTCTCTGTTCTTTGGCTTGTATAATCTCTATCAATTTACCTTCAAGTTCTTTCTTCTGACAGCTCAAATCTACTATTGGGTCTTCATTTTTTTTTTCTGCTATTGCATTTTTCAATTCCAGAGTTTTCATTTGGCTCATGTGTATGTATGTGTTTGTACACAGACACAACTATTAATATTAGTATATAGATAGATATGGTTTCTTTTTATTGGTATTATTTATTTGATGCAACATTGTTATCGTATATTCATTTACTTCTTCAATCATGCTTTCTATTAGGTCTATGAATATATTTATAATGTCTACTTTGAAATCTTTCTGATTTATCTGACATCTCACTCTCATAAGCAGTTTCTGTTGCCTGATTCTTTTTGAGGCAGAGTATAGATCATATTTTCAAAATTCTTCATAGCTTCATATTTTTTGCTAGATATTGGACATTTTGGATAATATATTGTAGGAGTTCTAACTACTGATTCTTCTCTTCCATAGTTTGTCATTGTTCATTGTTCAGTTATTTATTTAGTGACTGGTTGGATTATTTTAATAAAGTACACTCACACCCCTCAACACACAGTGTTAAGCCTCTCATGTTGCTCCTCAACTAGACACAGCTATGAGACAACCTGGGATAACAGTGGTATTTTGTGGGCCTTTCTTCTGATTCTTTCCCTTGCTCCACTGCTGGCAATTGCTTTATTGTTTACAATACCCTGGGCATACATTTCTTTACAAACCAACCTAATTAAATGTAATTCCTTTGAAGGAATGGCTTCTAATGTCAGTGTTTGATGTTTATTCTGACCCCAGGAGAGCTCCTCTCAGCTGTCCTATTCCCTTATTTCCTGCAAACTAGCTGGCCTGCAGTCTAGGTTCTATCTTCTTTAGATTCACAGATCTCATTCTAATTGCCTTTCAGCACAATCTACACTAATCTTGAGAGTTTCCTTAGGTTTAAATTCCTCTACTGCTCTGTTGCAGATGAAGTCACTATTCTACTGCCTGCTTCTCCTCCCAGAAAAATATTTCTTAACAAGAGCTCTGAAGCTGTGAGTAGGGACAATAGCAATTTTCTCTCTGAGTAAAACCCCATTTTAGGAGAGCACTCAATAGGCTAATGTTTTCTTGGATTGCCCCTCTGGCACAAAGGGACCACAACACAAGCCAGGGGAAACGGCACTAATGCCCCAGGATTCTCAGCATGCCACACCTGAGATAGACCCTCCAATCTTGAGTAGGCATTGGGCAGAAGAAGAAAGCCTCACTTTTCAACCACATTCACCAGGACTAGACTCAGCATCAGGCAGCCAGACACAGGACAAGCTATGCCAAAGCCTTATTCTTCTCAGGAGGAAAAAAAACCAAAAAAACCCGGCAAAACAAAACAAAAAACCAGGGAGATGCGGAAGAACAGAGCTGTTTTGGTGCAAATATCACAGACTAACTTTTCTTGCTGAAATTTCATAGATTTTATTGAATATTTGTTTTCATTTGCTGTTTTGCTCTTATGATTATTTCTAGAGACTTCTGGTGTTTTCTTTTTTAAAATGTTTTTCACCAGTTTTCATCAGGGAGTGGGTCAGCATGTTACTCATGCTGTCATGTGATAAGTGATTTAATTTTGAATATGCAAGTTGGGATTTATCTGGGTGAAGAGTTCTCATAGGCAGAAAGACACACAGAACTGAGAGCCAAGGAACAGACCTAAGCTGGTTATGTAGATTTGGAAGTCAACCTAGGGACAGAAATAATGAGAGAAAAGTAACAGAAATAGAAGAGGGTCAAGATCAGAACTCAAAAGAATATTAACATTTAAGCAAAGGAACCTGGGAAGAACTGGTTAGAGAAGGAAGTTATAGTACACTCTAGAAAGAGTGTTATATATGGAAGAAAACAGTTAGTGTAAAATTTCAAAGAGAAAATGATTGGAGTATCGGAACCATGAAGAATAAATTAAGAGCTAAAGAATCTTTAAAGATGAATAAAAGTTACATTTTACTTTTCAAAAATTAAAGGTTTTGAAGTTGTAAAAATATTACAGTATTACACATGTCATTGGATTTGACAATTAGGAAGACACTGATGAGGCCAGGCGCGGTGGCTCACGCCTATAATCCCAGCACTTTGGGACGCCGAGGTGGATCACGAGGTCAAGAGATCGAGACCATCCTGGTCAACATGGTGAAACCCCGTCTCTACTAAAAATACAAAAATTAGCTGGGCATGGTGGCACATGCCTGTAGTCCCAGCGACTCAGGAGGCTAAGGCAGGAGAATTGCTTGAACCCAGGAGGTGGAGGTTGCGGTGAACCGAGATCGCGCCATTGCACTCCAGCCTGGGTAACAAGAGCAATACTCCGTCTCAAAAAAAGAAAAAAAAAAAGAAGACACTGATGAATTTTGCCAGAGTGGTTGGGGTGTCCTGTAGGTGGTAAAGACAGATTGCAGTGGGTATATATGTAAAGTAATAGAGTTGGGGAATGGAAATTGTTAGGGTTGGGAATGGGGTTTATATCCTTATCCTGACGCTTAACTCTGACTCCCCAAGATTCTGGGCAGTGCTGTATATACACAAAGAACAGGCAGCCTGGTGGAGATCATGGCTTATGCTTCATTCAAGCCTCCCTGGAAATGGCTAGATTGGAAAACACAGCACATCTCTGACCCCTCCCACATAAAATCCAGGCCCACAAGAACTTGTCTAACCCAATTTATCCCATCGCTGGTAAGCTGAGAAGCTGGCACAGAGAGGGCACACAATTGGGTGAATTTTCCACAGGGAGACCCTGCCTGAGAACCACAGTGAGAAATGTGATGGAGTTAACATCTTCTTTCAGGGTCATAGTAATTACATGAACAGCTAATATGGACCAAAACAAACCAAATTTAGTAATTTACTGTGGAGCAAAGTGAAGGCTAAAACACAGGTATCAGCCAAAAGTCAGAAAATTCAAACAAGTGGATACAATAGAAGGTCCAAGCCTGGAGGGAATAAGTAGAGATTTAGATAACGGGTACATATGGAATCACGAGATGTGTGGCCTCAGTTTTCTCAAGAGAGAAGTGAGGCTGTATACTCCTTACTCCTTGTATATTCCTTGTATATTATTCTTGTCAGGAATAAGCAAGAGAGAGAGTTTAGAGGTAGGCTGACTGCTAGAGGACAGTGGAGAAAGTTAATGCCCGAGCTTGAACACATGCACTCTGGGGATTGACATAGTGAGCTGAGCCTTGTTCTGTGTTCCCTGTTGCCACAAACAGGACAGAATTCTAGGATGTACAGAACATTGGCTTCATCCAGAATAATGCTTCTTACATTTCATAGTCACCTTTATTCTCCTACTATCCTTGTTAAAAGAGGTTTTCACGTTGGTGTTTGCAGAATAAGTTCTGTCCAGGGGAAAATTTTCAACAGTCTAATAAATTGAATAAAGACAATGTGATTGATATTTTATAGGGCTCTTCAAATTCAAGGCTGCCCTTATTTATTGCTGCTTCTTATTTTGGGGGAAACAAAATGCCTACTCTTTAATAAAACTAGGATACTGGGTAACTATTTTTGTTTTTTGCCTTTACTCAGCAATAATAAAAGTAGGCAAGCATAGACCTGTTCCTCTGTTTAATGAGTTCTTCTGGTCTGTAAAATCTCAAAGCTGGATCATCAGCACTTGAGTATATTTTCATAAACAGTATGCTATCCACTATAAGCATAACTGAAGCAAATGAAGGAGAATAAAATAATTATTTAGCAACTGGAATACTAGGCTCAAATAATAAAGAAAATTAACATAAGGTGAACTTCCTTCTCACAGGCACACACACATCAATGTTCAGACCAGGGGTGGTTAGAGATCCATAATAACAATATCTCATTGTGGAACTCTGCAAGGTAACTCTCAAATAGCTGCATGGCAGAGACCATAGCTTATAATGTCATAGCCTGTGTTGCCAAGGCAACAACACAGCCAGCAACAGAGGCTGACATTTTGAAATGTGCATGTGATTTTATTATTTACAAGTTGTAGAGAAGAGAGCAGTGCCAATGTGGTGGCTTAGAAACATCTGTTCTAATACTGCCCACTTGCTTTTGAAAAGAGTGCAATATCTTAAGTAACCATATTCATCAAGAGCCATGTGCAGACTCAGCCATTCTTTCATCTATTTATTCATTCATTTATCCAACAAGCATTTACCTACTAAGCACCTAGCACGTGCCTTGTTCTGGGAATCCAAGAGTGAACAATACAGACATAGCCTTTGCTATTTTTACTATATATCTATTACGATATAAAGAAAACTTGATGGAAATTAATATACTGGGTCTTAATCTGAGGAGAAAAGGTAATACTCAAATACGGAACAGGTTGTGCTGCTCCTATCCCTATGCCCCGTCATGAATATTTGGATAGTAACAATTATGCTGCACTTTGTTTTCACATTCTTTCCTCAGATGGCGATTCTAATGGGTTTTTATCCCTCAAGATATTTTGAGAAAAGTAAGTTTCTAATTAAATAATTTTGAAAAATGCAAAAGATAGAGCTTATCTTACTCCTACCAATTCACAGGAACATTTCTTGATCTGATGTTTCCATCGAACCCTATTATGCAGTATTAGTGTTCCAAGGAATGTATTTTGGGGAAAGTTATCTTAGTATCCTTTATAAATTGAAATAGTGGTGATGACACTGGTAATGCATACATTAGCTATGGCATTTGAAAGGCTATAAGCAATGTACATACCAGGGCATCCATGGCAGGCAGAAGACTGCATTCATAATTTATGAATTCCAAAGATATTATTCAACCTTTTATAACATCTTCTTGTCAGGAATAAGCAGCAGGATTCCTACAATTAGAAAACATTTCTCACAATATGCCTCATGGATATATCACTATGTACCTTCCTGATGAGCTTGAATTTAGTAATCTAAAAGCCATCCCTACTGGCTATGCTTAAGAATATTTAAATAAGTGAAGGCAACACCCCGTTTTAAGGCAGCTATTTATTGAAGCATAAGTTCAATCCAAAAAGCAGGAGGACAGCAACTGTACAGGTTTGCAAAAGGACAAGGGTGATGAGGCTTGACTGCTGATAGAGCCACCTCAGTTAAGTTGGCTGATAGCAGGTGATGTCTGTCCCATACCATCCCTAGCTGTAGATTTAGTGAGCAAGACCAGACTGCTTGCACAGCACTGGGGATCATGACTCATTGACTTATTGCTTTTGAAATAAAATCTCTCTCCCTTGAAGTCAGCTGAGGACATTGAAATTCTTCTGTCTGCATTTGCTATCAATTTCATTCAGCTGGCACTGCCCCATTGCTACCTGGTAATACAATTTAATTTGTGAGGGGAAGAGAAATCATAGTTCTTACTTCCTGCAGAGCGTGAGAAGATTAAAAGATCTGTGCAGAGCCCCTGCTGTAGAGAGACTGCAAAGGTGTTATTAGATGGAGACAGTGCATAATTCTCATGCTCCTTGCAGCATCAGTGAGCAAATTGTATTTGCAGGCAGGTGCTTCTGAGTAGCAAAATTGCCATGACTGTGTGGAGGACAAAGTCTGCATGATGGTTTGGCTGGAAGCCTGTCTCTGAGACAGCTTGGTGCAGGCACAGATGTCCCAAGTAGTAATGCAGCAGAGCAGCCCTCATGCTGAGAAACACTGTATTGTCTGCCTCTTCTCAGCACCCTCTGCATATGTTCTTGTATTTTTATATCCATTTCACTCTCACACTTCACTGATCTTTTAAATTTGTAAATTAACAAAAGAGATGACTCTGTTTCAAATGAAACTAAACTGAGCTATCTACAAAAAAAAAAAAAAAAAAAAAAAAAAAAAAAAAAAAAAAAAAAAAAAAAAAAAAAAAAAAAACTGAGAGGGCTGCTATCTAAAGCGTGCATGTGTGGGAAGAGGACCACCAGTTTATCCTGGCTTTGGTTGAAATGCCAACTGGAGATTTTTTAAATGCACATGAATATTTTTTTTTCTCTGATGTTAGAAAATCACTGAAGTCAAACAGGAGAAAGCAAAAAATTGTTGGATTTGTAAATCTGTTTTGAAGTGAGGCATTTCCAAACACCTTCAGACATTTTAAGACCTTCCTTCTTTGCTGCTCTGGACCAGACTCTGATATATGCTTAGGTGATGTGCAAAACTGTGCAAGATTAGATACACCTGGGTTTGAAAGCAAGCCTTTCAATGTAAAAGCAATATATGACTACTTAACCTCTCTAAACTTTGATTTCCTCAACTATAAGTGGGAATAATAGTGGATCCTATTTCATAAAAATGTTGTAAAGATCAAGCAATATATGTCAATGCTTACATAGAATGTGGCATATAGTATATGCTCATTAAATAATATCTATTATTTGTATAAGTAAATAATCTGTTGTGAACTTAAAAAGAGGAAGTACAAGACTTATTCTCATATATGTGTCTATGTACCTGTGTGCTTATATCTATGTATTTCGTTTTATAATTGAAAGTAAAACTGCTTAAGCATGTTACCCATCTATACTTGTTTGGACTAGAATTCTATACCTCTGTGCTATTATAAATGATTTAGAAAAGTGTGAATTTCATTTCCACTAGTGTCTTTAAGTCACTAAAGTAGTGTAGAGAATAGGGAAGAAATCTGCACATATAATTCTATTTTGGTTACCAAGTTACTTTGAAGTGAGAAAAGTCTAAACAACACAGACTTTTAAAGAGATACCATAAAGTACAAGTAAACCAGAATCTCATTGTGCAGAGTCATTCGTTTATTCATTCATGCATTCATTCACCAAATAAATATTAATAACACATACACAACATGCGTATGATAGTTATGAGGTATAGAAAACAAATGACTAAGGAGTAAGATACACTTACCTTAAGGAACTTACAGTCGCGGTGGAGAGACAAGTAAAGAAACTCTATAATATCAATGCAGTATAAAAGGAATTATAATATGAACAAATTAGGCTATTTGATTTGTAGAGCAGTTTTTAGCATCTCTCACCTTTTCATAAAGACTGGAAATCTTAATGCATAAATATCTTGAAATTCTTAATTTTAAGTTACGTTTTTACTTTTGCTTAAGATATATTCTCTCTGTTGAGACTGTCCAATGTGGAACATTTTAAAAATTATATTGGTTATATTAACTTTGCATATTTTTTCTTTTAGAAGTTTGTCATTTAGTTTATAAAATATCATCACACACATAGAACAGGATACATAAAATTTAAAAGTAGAAGAATCACAACCCATTTAAAAGTAGTTATCAAATGTTCATTTTCTGCATGGTATTAGGTAAAAGGAAATTTAATATTTTAATTATCTAAGATAAAAATAGATTTGGAGCTATCAGCCTCAAATGTAGCTATATTGCAAAAAAAAAAAGTTATCTTTTAAAAATCTTTTCCTTCTTAATTTCTCTCTCTCTTGATTGCTTCCTTCCTTTATTTTTTCTTCCTTCCTCTCTCCCTGTTCCTTTTTTCCTTTTATTCCTCATTCATTTTTTTTTTTCAAACTTGCTGGTCTAATCAGATTGATCAAAATAGCCCAGTATTGGAAGAAGGCGGCAAATCACACTGCCATGGGTGTACCTATGCAACAATCTTGCATGTTCTTCACATGTACCCCAAAACCTAAAATGCACTAAAAAAAAATAGCCCAGTATTTCTGACTTCTGAAACAACTAATATTCATACATAAAAACTTGACATAAACTTTGAATTTTCACCCATTTCTTTTTCTTTAATGGAGCTTTAAAACTTAAAAACCTATAAACACACTTGAACAGATGCTGTTTTCTTAAATCATGTGCAGATAAAAATGTCACACTTCATTAGCACCTGACTCTACTACCAAAACAGCGTCTTCATGGTGAAATCTTTTTATTTCTTAGGAATCCTATAATTATTATAGGTAAAATGGGGGATAAAGGGACTATTTGCCTATTTTTTAGTAGCAGAATTGTTTTTTTTTTCAAATTACCTTATAAGTCATACCATTACATAAAGCAGTTAAAAATATAACTGGTTTAGCATGTTCTCACTCATAAGTGGGAGTTGAACGATGAGAACACATGGACACAAGTAGGGGCACAACACACACTAGGGCCTGTCGGGGTGGGAGGCAAGGGGAGGAAGAGCATTAGGACAAATACCTAACGCATGTATGGCTTCAAACCCAGATGATGGGTTGATAGGTGCAGCAAATCACCATGGCACATGGATAACTATGTAAGAAACCTGTACATTCTGCACATATATCCCAGAACTTATATATATATACACATATATATATATGTATATATATAATATATGATATAATATATATATTTTATATATTTTATATATATGATATATAATATATATATTTTATATATATATTTTATATATATATTATATATTAGCTATATATATATATATTTTAAATTTTATGTATCCTGTTCTGTGTGATGATATTTTATAAACTAAATGACAAACTTCTAAAAGAAAAAATATGCAAAGTTAATATAACCAATATTATATATATAATATATATATATTTATATATATATTATATATATATTATATAGCTATATATATGTATATATAGCTGGTCTAACCAAGTAACGAGGTGAGTGGGCAAGACCCTGGCCCAACTGAGGAGCTCCAGGAATCCAAAGATTGCCCTTTGAAAACCTTTGAACTAGGAAATCCCTGAGGTTCCTTCTACTGCTAACAGCTTATGACTATAAGTGCTAAATAATTCACACTGAATTACACTTCTCTAAATAATGTCTTTCATTGTCACGCATGAAGTAACTGAGATTCTCTTTATGCTTGTGACATTTACTTCCTTTTTTAAAGAAATCAACACAACAGTAACCTGGAATTAATCTCCCTGAAAATTATCCATGACCAGAAAGAAATTTAGGCATTAAATATAGTATTACTAGACTAACAGATGAGGGCTATTGAAACAATAATACTTTCATATGCTATTCATGACAAAAGACCTCTGTATATAGTGATCTAAGTTAGTAATTCTTTAACTACACGATTATGTTATTAGGTTGGTGCAAAAGCAACTGAGGCTTTTGCCACTGAAAGTAATGGCAAAAACCGCAATTACTTTTACACCAACCTAATATTTCTCTTTATTTCACCTCTATTGACCTAAAATGCAGTTGAGTTTACTTTTGTTATATTTTTCTAGCTATGTATGATTATGTAACAGCTATAAAACATAAAGGATAGGTAGCACTAGACATTTAATAAATCAATATTTGGTTTTAGCATTACTTATTCCAAAGAAGTTTCATACATTATTTTAAACTAATGTTCTCTGCTATTACTATTAGTCACTTTCTAAACATTTTCTTAATCTACTCATATTAAAGATGGAGAGGATTCCATTTAAAATCTATAATAGAATATATATTTTCCTTTGTACATCTCACCCATGACAACAATCAGAGCTGCTTCTTCAAGCAGTAGCAGCTCATGACATTTCAGGAATTAAGATGGGAAATGAATAACATATGAGATTTGTGTTTCATGGAGAAGGTCCTGGCCAATATTATCGGATGAAAAATGTGAGATGATCTAGGAAGAGTTTCATCTTCTGGTTATTTTTGTTACAATTGAAGATGTGGTTTTCCCTTTGCCAATCATATTTGCAGTAATTCTAAGTACCTGTTCCACACTGACCTGTAGCTGAGATGGTGGAGAGAGTTGTGAGCCAGTGGCGTGGGGGATCTTTGGAAATGTTCTTCCAAGTGGAAGGTATGTTTTATCATGCTGCTGCCTTCTTTTTATTAAAGAAATAATAGCTATTATAATACCTAATGGACATTTATATCTATTGCAGGCCTTATCTTTCCTGGAAAGTTATTCATTTAGGTAAAGAAATTTATCCACCTCAGATCAGCACTTTTTTAAGTCAGATGAAAAAACTTACCGCATTGTGATTGTTAGATATCTTAGGTTGTAAATCTCATTCCATTTTCACACTTATTTGTTCTCTGTATTGAAGACAGTGAACAAATTTTATCCTGTATCCCAGGAGCACCCTGAAGACACTGTGAGATCTGTGGTCTGTTTCATATGAATGAGAAGAAATTATTTTTTGCCTGCCACATTTTCTCATCTAGAGGGTTAAAACATACAAATAATAACCAATAATATTCAACTCACCTGCAGTATCTTATTCTTTTCAATATCTGGAGCACTATGTTTAGAAGTTCAGAGGCTGCTTTCAAATAACAGGGAAAAATGCCAATAGGAACATCTGTCATAAGTACAGAAGGGAGTGTGGACATTTGCAATAAAGTTGTCATACTTGCATAATGAAGAAATGTTGTTTAACATGTTAATTTATTTTATTATCTGGGATTGCAATATGGAACTATCTTATTTTACTCAATGTTCATCAGGATTGCAGTTTTGCTCAAAATTTACCATTATTAGGATTACATTCTAATTCTACTATAGTTTGGTTAAGTGTTGATCTCTGACTTGTTTTTCAAATAATGAATTTTGGTGGTTCAATCATTTGGCATTTGAGCACATTTTTATACATTTTAAGCAGCCCAGAGCCATCTTTTTTACAAAAGTTCTAGCATTTTAGATGTTATACCTCTGGCACTGATGAAGAGCTAACAGATGAAGCAGCCCCCAGAGAATGCCCCTGTAATTTGTATAGCTCTGCTATTAAATATGTTGTTCATTACATTATCCCATGTGCCAACTATAAAAAAAAAACCATGGTGATACAATTTCCAATTTTTGACACAAAACTCCATCTACAATTATAACAAAAAGAACCAGAAGATGAAACTTCTTACCATTTTTCATCTGGTAATATTGGCGCAGGACCTCCTTCATGAAATGGAAATCTCCCATTATTTATTCCATCCTTAATAACCTGAAATGTAATAAACTCCCACTGCTTAAAAATCCAGAAAGTGTTTACTTCTGATTAGTCGGTTTGCTCTTAACAACTGAATACTGAAATGTGTGTGTTTTCACTGTTGCTCCAACTACTAAGGAACTCAGATGTAAAGGTTTCATTCAGTTGCTGTACTAAGGCAGCAGGACATGGAGATTTGATGTAAATGTCTTTTCATTTACAAAGCAGTTTTGCCTTTTTTATTGTGTTTAATGCTTTGTGGTTTACTACATCAATCCCATTATCATTAACTGTCTGCAATCCTTTTTTGAATGTATTTTAAGATAAGATAAATATATATATATATATATATATATATATATATATGTATACACAAACAAAATTTGTGGAAAGGCATTATTTTAGACCAGTCTCTTGTCCTAGGCCCTGGCAGACCAGACCAAACCAAAATGGAGCCCCTCATGATAAATGTCACATAATCGAACTGAAACTTTAAGGAAGCAGGGAAATCCCCAAACTAACCAGTTTTTCCTTAAAACGGATTTCACCAATCAGTAAGAACCCAGTCTACCTGAGATAATGAGGAAGTCCCTTCTGCTCCAACCTTTACAACAAAAGAGCCGTGTAGTAACCTGATGTCGACCAATCCATTGTTTTCACTGTTCTTTCTTCTTGTTTCTACCTTACCAAAACCAGTTGTTTTGTCAGACCTAGTGGAACACTCATTCCATCTTACAGAATGAGATACTGCATAATTCTAGAATCTCACACAAAAGGCAATTAGATGTTTAAACTAAAGTTATTGTAATCTGGCCTGTTGACAACCTTTTTTGTCTTATTCACACTTCCTTCTTTCCAATTTTCCATTCTACTTATGTTCTGTGTTTGCCTGAAACTCACTACAACCTCCCTACCTTCGTCATCCACCCCCTCCCAGAAAGCAGAATCTGAGACAAGTGCTTTTGTGCAGATAGTCTCTAGAGCAAGCAAGACAAGAGAACAGGATGGAAGGACTAGAGAGAGTGAAACAGAGAAGGAAAGCCAATTCACTGTTAATATGCTATGCTGATCTCTGTAGTGGACAACTGGAACTCAATACAGCCAAGGCCTTCTGAGGAGTCTTAGAGAATGTGCCTCAAAACCTCTACTTCAGGGAGAGAAGGGACCAGATTTTTTCCACCATTAGTCAAAATGGGCCACATGCAGTGTTAATAAGTACTCAAATCCACCCCACACTACTGCATCCAAGAATCCCCAGGCCGAAAATGAGAGATATATAGTGCTATCGGGTTACATCTGTGAAAATTCACTGCTGCAGCAATGCCCAGAAATAAAGATTGAGCCAAGAGGATTAGAGTCAAGGTACAAGAGATATCCTATACAAGTTTGAACGCCATAGGAAACCCCAGCAGCATTGCCTGGTTTTTCCTTTTCACCAAGATCTGACCCCACTATATGTTACAGATTTGCCATATCCTTCCCTCAGTGGAAAGAGACCAGTGCCAAACTCTTTCATTTACTCAGCAGGTCTCCCTTTCTTGGAGGAATTTATTTAATGGAAGGTAGTAGCAATATAATCAAGGAGTCCAGAAGGATGTCTCAGAGGCAGAGATTTAGAATTGTCCCGGTGGTTTTACTGAGACTTCCTGAGTAGTGAAATGAGCCTTTTCTGACCTCACATCTGTCAGACACACATTGTATCTGTGTGATGGAAATTACAGCTTATAATAGACCTTGAAATCATAGGAGCTACCAATTAAGTAGGAAGGAGAATACAAAATCCAGGTTTCTTCTGCTTGTCCTCAACTCCTTCCTAACTCAATTTCCAATAACTGCTTCCTTCCTCCGTCCAGTCTAGAATGTTCCTACCAGATATTAGGAAACAACAGGAGGGCATCCTTTACTCTCTTTCTCACAGTTCCCAAAGAAGGACCTGATATCCCCATCAGTAAATAGATTTTAGATCTATTGCCACTCATGGGATTATTTTACTGTCTCCTTCATAGAATATGGAATCATATATAACAGCTGTTTCTTTTCCTGGTGAGGAAAACTGACAGGGGCTACAAGATGGAAGGGTGAAGGTCATGCCCTAGACAGTAGAGTTCAGTGTCAGAGGCAGAGTCCCCATGTTGCTGATCTGGCAACAACAGACTGGCTGACTTCTAGAAAATTTACTTAACCTCTCTAGGCCTCAGTTCCCCTGATTAGTGAAATGTAGACAGTGATGTAAGTCATATAGGGATGTTGTGAGTATTAAATGAGGCAGTGCATAAAAATTGCTTAATACAGTCCCTGGTATAGAGAAAGTGAATAGTAGTGCTGGCCAGCAGTATACTACTATAATGGGAGAATGAAGAAGATGGAGCCAGGATCAGGGAATGGTAGAAATTAAAATGTAAGAAATGCTGTGACTGAGAGGCAAATAAAGAACTAAGGGAAATCACAGAATCTTATACAACTAACTTTTATCCACAGTCGTGCCCATTCACAAGCCCTACTTCTCCCTTGTAATAGTAACACCAACTCTCTAACTTGGTGCCAGTAACTAAAGCATCTCCACAAGTTTAAATCTTTCTCATGAATTTGGTCCTTTTTCTGACCTGCTTTAGTTCTTCCACCTGCCATTTTAACACAGATGAACCAACTGGTGGTGTTCTAGCAAGGGCAGTGCCAAACAGGTATTGCCATACACACTTGTCAAAGCAAATCAAAGTTCTGATCTCTCCAAGAGCCCAGGAGAAATGGCTTACCAAACAGGATTGAGAAATCAATCTTTGTTCTTGAGCATTTGAATTCAGATCTAGACTTACACCATTGGACCTAGTTCTCAGGCCTTCAAACTCAGACTGGGACCTACACCATCAGTTCCCCTGGATCAGGCCTTTGGATTTGAACTGGAACAATCCAATTGGCTTTCCTGGGCCTTCGGCTTGCAGATGGCAGACTGTGAGACTTCTCAGCCTCCATAATCACATGAGCCAATCCTTCAAAATAAATATATTTCAATATATCCATCAATATCTATACCTACACTTATCCACTGGATCTGTTTCTCTGGAGAACCTTGACTAATATATTGGGTCATAGGTATATATATGATCAACTTTAGGAGAAGAGTTTTCTAAAGCGGTTACACCAATTTACATTTCTGCTTATAGTTTATGAGCATTCCAGTTGCTCCATATCCTCCTTATACTTGGTATTTTCCAGGTTTTTTTCTTTTAGTAATTCCTGAAGAGCTGAAGAAACATGCAACATACTCTAGGCTGAGATTCCAAGAATGACTTCTGTAGCCACACTGGAAAACTAGATTGCCTAGGGAACCATGTCTTCCTTGTGATACATGTCAGCAAAATGAATTCTCTTTTCCTATTTCTTTTTTCAGCTTTTAAAAAATTGTAAACAATAACATAGCATCATTTTAGTTCTATTAAGCTATATACCATATAACTGGTCCATAAACTGGATTGCCTAGGGAACTGTGTCTTTCTTGTGATCCATGTCAGCAAAATGGATTCCCTTTTCCTATTTCTTTTTTCAGTCTTCCAAAAATTGTGAACTATAACATAGTATAGTTTTAGTTCTATTAAACTATATACCATATAACTATATACCACACACGTGTGGTATATTAATTCTTTGTAATGCATTCCTATTACAAACACATCATCTTCCATGATATGTGTTTTAATTTTCTTTTCCCTGATAACTCATGAAGTTAAACACCTCTTCATAAGTTTACTGGCCTTTTGAACATTCTCTTTTGAGAAGGGCTCAAGTCTTTTTGGCCAGTTTTCCATTAGGTTGTCAAACTTGCAAGTGATTATTTGTTTGAGAGAGTTTTAAAAAATGTCAAAGACCTAGAAATAGAAATTCCATTTGACCCAGCAATCCTATTACTGGGTACATACCCAAAGGATTATAAATTGTTCTATTATAAAGACACATGCACATGTATGTTCATTGTGGCAATGTTTACAATAGCAAAGACCTGGAACCAACCCAAATGCCCATCAATGATAGACTGGTCAAAGAAAACATGGCACAATACACCATGGAATAGTATGCAGTCATAAAAAAGGATGAGTTTGTGTCCTTTGTAGGGACATGGATGAATCTGGAAACCATCATTCTCAGCAAACTGACACAAGAACAGAAAATCAAACACCACATGTTCTCATTCATAGGTGGGTGTTGAACAATGAGAACACATGGACACAGGGAAACGAGCATCACACACTGGGGTCTTTTGTGAGGGGCAGGGGAGTCACAGCGGGGGGGATGGGGAAGTTGGGGAGGGATAACATGGGGAGAAATGCCAGATATAGGTGACGGAGGGATGGAGGCAACAAACCATATTGCCATGTACGTACCTATGCAACAATTCTGCATGATCTGCACATGTACCCCAGAACCTAAAGTACAATTTAAAAGAAAAGTCATGAATACTATTCCTTTGTCAGATAAATATATCATGAATATTTTTCTCTGTGTGTGGCCTTTAGACTTTATGAGTAGTGTCTTTTAGTAACCAGAAATTCTTAATTTCAATATAATTACATTTAAATATTTAAAAATATCTAGTTAATACTTTTTGTTTTCTGACTAAGAAACCTTTTCCTTTGACAAGGTCATGAAGATAGATGGTCTTCTGTAAGCTTTGTTTCCCTTTCACATTTATATCATTAATTCACCTGGAATTGAATTTTTATGTAAAATGTACAGTAGGGGTCAAGATACATGTTATTTCCCAAATAGATATTCAGTTTAGGAAGTACTACTGAATGAGATCATTTCTTTATCACTATACTGTACTGCCATTTTTTCATTATATTTCAGGTAACTGAATATATGTGAGTTTGTTTCTGGAACAGCATTTTGTTGCATTGATCAGTTTGTCTACTATTGCTCCAATATACCAATGTCTTATGGATATATAACTTTATATTATTCAGTGAAAACCTCCCAAATCTGTTCAGCTTCTTCAAAACTGCCTTGCATTCTCATATAAACTTTAAAATTCGATTGTCAGCTTTATCAAAAGAAAAAACCTGTGGGGATTTTGGCTAAAAAAAAAAAAAATAGAATCTGTAGATCAATTTGAGAAAAATTGACATCTTGAGCTCATTTAATTTTTACTAAAATTATCTGAATTATAAATTTGTTTTCTACAGTTTATTGCTGGGATAACTGAAGAAAAGAACAGTAAAGGAAATATCTTACATCATCTCAATAATTAGTACTCACTTCTGGATCCTTATCCAGAATATACAGGGCAGAATGTAGCTAAAGTACAACTGACAGTGTTTTGCTTTCATATTTAATATTATGATTATTTCTATTTATAGCCTATTTGTTCCAAATATATTGTTATGGTAACTTTATATTTGAAATTTAAAATGAGACTATCTAATGAACATTGTAACAAATATTTTAGATGCTAGGCAGATTGTAGAAATAGTGTGTATGAAGGGTTGACCGTGTTTGAGGAAATACTAACCAATTAAAAGCACATGCTTGGTAATCACTAAATTAATATTAATATTGTTTGGAACAATAACTAGTTAAAAGTGTCTAGTTCGTGTTATTGACATTCATATGGCAATTTCCTGGATTTTACACCTCCGAACTGGATGACATGTAACTTTAAAACCTATATTCCAAAATATGTAGGAAATAAAAAGTGAAACTAGGACACAGCTCCTTTCCAAACTGTTTAGAATTGATATGACATCAATCAAAAACTTATTTTCAATTACTCTCACTCTGGTAATAATACAAACTTTTGAAAAGTAAGAATAACCTGGGATCCACAATAAAATTATTTTGCCTGGGAACGAGACATTTAGTTACACGGGAACTGAGCATATAATCCTAAAGTTTTCTCCAAGTCATAAAATTCTATTATTCTGTGAAATCAAAGAGCTATAAAAGGTTATTGAACACTGCAGGAAAAAAAAAAAAAACAGTTATCCTATACTGGTTAATTGGCAAGAATGAAACAGAGGTCATTCCATGGTAGCTGTGAGTTTCACATGAATAGTCTACAAATAGCTACTGAGCTGCTTCGTATTGTATATATACCATTGAGCCAAACACACACAGCTTCTGTCTATACAAGCTTCCAGTCTAAGGAACTAGTCTCCATGGAATATTACAATGAGAAGCAAGTCCTAAAATAAGTTAAAACTCTTAGAAATTGATTTAACCCTCTCATGCCTCTTGTTCTAGTTTTTAAAAATGGGCAACATATGAAACTATTTTTTCCCTAGAATCAAACATAGCTTGAATTGAAACTTGGTATAAAATTTTACAGATTATTAGGTTTATAATTAGATTATATAAAAAAGTTTCTTTTTCTTTTTTTTTTTGAAGGAGAGTTCAGACCTGTATGGATAGAACTATGCTCAATGTATTAAGACATATAGTAAGAATTTGAGCGTACCGTTATTGATAAATTTCAAAGTACTCCTAATGCAGTAACTGTACTTGTGGATCTCTTTTAAAAAAATAATTCTTCGATATAAAATAAAACAAAGATATAACCATTAAAAAAAAACTTGTATGTTACTGGTATTATCTTGGAAATAAATATAGTTACTTGATGCCTATTATATGCAATGTTATCGTTTATAAAATGAAGAAATTGTGGTATATGTCCTGTGTGGTCATCAAAAGAGATTTGTGCTTTTACAATTTTTTTTCACAGAAGTCATACATAAGCAACAATTTTATTTTGTCTAATCTTCATTTTATATTGATCTTTATATCAGAGTGAAAGTTTCCTTTGGTTTCTAATAAAGTCATTTATTAAATAATAATATATTGATTCTAATTTTATCTGAAATTGTTTCTTATGTCTAGTTTCAAAATTTTACTTCTGTTTTATTTTCTTTCTGGTATTTATTTGAGCCTTTTGTTGTCTACCTATTGTGCTATCCTGTTGTTGTATATATCAATACGTATTTAAAGAGGAAAAAGCTCTCTTTAAAGAGTTCCCAGCAGAATGTTAGGCATGTGTTTTAACTTCCTGAGGGAACTCATACAATTGTAAAGAGCCTCATTTTACTTTCACTGTCCCAGTTATGTGTATTATCAGATCAGGGAAAATATTGAAGTCAGAGTAAATTTAAGGTAGAAATGATGACTCTTACCTGAATCCAAAATACCTTCTTTAAGAAAGGAAAAAAGAAGCGTTGACAATTAAATAATCAAGTGTACTTTTCCCTTGATGCGAAATGTAAGTAAAACATCCCCCTGGGCTTTACCAGAAGCCTAGTTAGCACTTGAAGATTATAATTATACATAAGTGGAACCAAGAAGTTCCAAGAATTTATTAATGTATTTATAGTACTCCTATTACTGTAACCAGTAGGAGGCAATTTTTCCAAATGAGATTTTCAATGTAAAAATCCCTTTCAGAATCACTGCCAGTTCTATCATATTGATCTCCTAATACCATGATGTCAACTAAGACTATGTTTGGTTCAGAAAATCTGTGCACATATTAGCATCAGGGCTTCTATGTATTAAAATATCCCAGGCCAGCCTTGTCAGAAAGCTTTCTATCAAGGTAGAACACATTTTTGTTATAAGAATTAACTGCCTCAAAAGGTGATACTTAGAAGCTTTCAACACAAATGCCCCAAAATTATACAGACAATCTTGTCTCTATCCAAATTACTTTGTAGGAAGGCAGATTAAGAAAAGAAGCTAAAATCTTATTTCTAAAAGTTAGGTCTTTTGTATTCATAAGAGGTAATTGAACACCAAGGAACTAGTCATAAAGAAAAAAAAAATCAACAGGAAAAAAGGAACGTTCAACTAATCACCTTTTTTTTTTTTTGTCTTGTTTATGCTTCAATGCCCAGAAGAAAGGGGCTCAGATCACAAAAAGCTGGATGCCATGCTGGTGGAAAGAGAACTGAATCTCAAGATAAGTGAGTTGCTTAGAATAGCATATAATGTTGAAATGTTTGTCTCCTGACATAGTCAAATTATAACCCAGGTTACCAAGAAACACTATATCATTTATACTCTGTTAGTTTTTTAATGACACCAAGTAATGAATGTGAAATCAGAAGACTGGAGGTAAAGTTAATATTCCTGATTTTCTTTTAAGAAAAAATGTATGGGAACCAAGTGTAGGTTTTATATGTCAGATTCCAGAAAAGAAATGGACTACACATTATTAGATTAGCAAATCATGATTGTCTTCTTTATTTAGACTGCCATAATGAAAATACCATAGATTAGGTAGCTTATAAGCAACCACAATTTATTTCTCAGTTCTGGAGGCTGAGAAGTCCAAGAGGAAGGTACCAACAGATTCCTTGGCTGGTAAGGGTCACTTCTTGGTTCACAGAAGGCAATGTCAAGGGAGCCCTCTGAGAGTCTCTTTTACAAATGCAGAGCCCTCTTTTACAAAGGCAGAGCCCTCATGACTAATCAACTCCTAAAGGCTCCACTTCCAAATGCCCTAACATTAGGGATTAGGTTTCAACATATGAATTTTGGGAAGACAAAAACATTCAGTCTTTAGCCACGATCCTAAAAGCAAACATAGTCATTTTTCTTTTATATGTGTTTACTAATCTAGCAGAATAGGAAAATACTGTGATACTCTTCATCTTACTTTCAATACAGCCATTTATTTCTTATCCAGGCAGAAATAAATTATTCCACTCTTCAACCCATAGCAATATAGATGTATAGTAGATTCTATAGAGGTTATGTGTTATTTAACAAATCTAAATCTAACATATACTTCTATAACTTGCTCTTAATATAATCAAAGAATATTTCAGAACAATATTTTTACTTTGGTTTTCACAGCAAGATATGTATGAAACCATCAAATTACTTAATTCTCAGTTCGTATTTTTCTTAGCATTCCCTCTAAATAATTTCGTTGATGTTCCCTCTGGGACATATGAGGGTTTTATTGGTCAGATTTCGCAGGTAAGGCATTCTGAGTATCTCTCTGTTTCTACCTCTATAGGATTGGGAAAGCATCTCAGTTTGCCCTAAAATTAAACTCCTCAACAATCACAGCTTGAGCTTCTCATTTAGCTAATTAGTACTTATTCTTCAATTGTATTGTCACCCATATGGGAAAAGGACAGCAGATTGCCTGTCTCCTGTCTCTTCCTTTTGATTTTCCCATTAAACTACTGATAAAAGAAAAAACTTTAGCTGTATTAAATTTAAAGGAATTTCACTGAGCAATGAACAGTTCACAAATTGGGCGGCCCCCAGAATCACAGCAGATTCACAGCGACTCCAGGGATTCCTCATGGGTCAGAAGAAATTTATAGACAGAAAAAGGTAAAGTGACATAGGAATCGGAAGTGAAATACAGAAACAATAAGATTGGTTACAACTTGGCATTTGCCTTATTTGAAGGCAGTTTGAACATTCAGCAGTCTATGAGTGGCTGAAGAATGGCAGCTGGGATTGGCCAACACTCAGCTATTGTTACAGCTGCATACCACTAGGTTAGGTTTTCAGTTTTGCCATTAAGCTAGGTTACAGTTCATCCACAAAGACTCAACTATAGAAGTAGGCAGTCCTTCACAGACCATATTTAGTTTTCTTTAACACTGTAAAACATAATGGTTGTTTTTTTTTTTTTTTTCTGGTTTCTTGTCACTATTCTGTATAATCAAGAGAAATCATGAGGCAAGGGGTAGGAGGAGTAAAGCAATCTCTTATGGAAAAAGCCTCACTGTTCCTTCCCAGATATATCTGGGCATGTGGGGCTCACATACACAAAACAACATGCAAGCTTAAAAAATCTCAAGGCAATAAAAGCTAGCAAGCAAATTCACTGCCTAAGTCACTGATGATCAATGCCTTATCTATACATCCCTAGAAATGTGTATATTAATATGAATTAGAACAATAGTTAAGTAGTTTCACCTCAAGATTCTCAGTAGTAAAAGTATCTCTTTTGAAATATTAAAACTGTTTTAGGTAGTTTTTAATTGTCATTTTTGTTACATTGCTAACAAATTCTTGACTCTACAGGTGGGGTTATTTGACTACATAGCTACATGTATCTATCAGTTGATGTCCTGACAGGAGAAAGAAGGCTCAAAACCATAGGATTTTGAAGAGAATGTAATAAAGAACTCTCTACAAAGGAGTGGGGAGAAGTAAGGAAACCAGCGAAGGCTGTAGAGAGGCACTCATGGACTACCAACAGGGGAAAGGGATGACCACCTCTAAGCCTAAAGCAGGAAGGAGAGAAAGTGCACCTGAGCTAGGTGAGTGTAAGAAGGGGCATGAACGTCTTTCATGTAGGATGGGAACAGAAATACCCTGGCTTCTATTCCTGCCCTACAATTTCCTACCATCACCTGGGACAGAGAAAAGCAAAGGTTGAATGGGGCTGGAAGGTGGGATTGGAACACAAAACAAGAAGAAATGAACTTGCTAAATTACAAAAAAAAAATCATAAATAGAGTATTATTCCACACTATAAAATTCCATCTTATTTCATTAGCGTTTTTTTTTTTTCAGTCCAATTCTAAGACCCAATGTTGGAGATTAAAATGATGTAAATTTTAAGCACTTAGAAGAAAGCACTAAATAAATGTCTGTTGAATGAATATATAAACTAGTGAATGAGAAATTTGGTTGAATTATCTCTATGGAATATCTTAAGCTCAGATTAATAAATCTCTTAGTTTTATTTTTATGATGTAATAATTTTTATATTTCCAAAGGTATTCTTCATTTGCATTTTATTCCACTGACCCATTCTAATCCTAAAGCTAATCAGTCTATTTTTCTAAATTTACTGAGATACATGAGCTTTATATTTTCTGCTCTCAAACCACTCTAAAATTTACATCAGCCGGGTGTGCCTTAGGAGAGGCTAAAGGAATCCAGTCCCCAGTCCTTGAACCCCAAAATAGGAGGATAAAATGGTATTAATGGTTCTGACTGATTCCTAAATCAATCACTATACATTATGTCTTCTCTCTCTTTACTCCAACAAGGGGCCAAATACTTTAAGTTAGAAAACAACTTAATGCCAAGGTGAAGACAGTATTTTCTTTGCTTGAAATATAGTTAAACATAAGGGTGAGAGATAATTTTAATGCCGTGAGGATGAAAGCGGCCTTATTGAATAGATTCTAAGCTTCTTCTTAGGCTGTTCTGCAAAGAGAACATGATCATGCTAATAGTAATGCCCATTTAGTGAGTGGTCACTATGTCCCAGGGGACCTGAAGTGCTTTAAGTAAGTTCTTTCTGCCCTACTGTTTGAACCTTGCTGTTATTGACCATTTTAATGATAACAATATCAATAAAAACAATAGCCACCATTTATTAAGTGCCTATTATATACAATCCTCATTTATATTCTCCAATTCAATTCTGCAACCAATTTTACAAAGTTGAAATGAGCTGATCAGATAACCTTGCTCAAAGCCTCACAGAGAGGGCAGTAGACACATCATGAGTAAGTGGCAGAGGTAGCTGGAGCCCAGTTTTTCTGAGCAAAACCTTTGCTTTTAACTAATACAGAGGACAACCTTCTTTTGAATGCCATTTGAATTAATATATTTTTGGCTGACATTGGAAAAGCCCGTGTCTCCTGCTTGGATCTGCAGGGTGCTATTAAACTGCCTCTGAGAAAAAGCCAGAAATTTTATTTCTACCATGTGAGGTATAGGGAAGGAAAGTTTAGTTGACTTTAATGAGAGTGACTATGATGAGAGAAGAAAAATCAAAGACAAGTACAGTGAAAAGAGTGAGTTTTTGAAGGAAAAATGGCGACAGCTGACTAAAGGAGAGGGCATTGCCATTCTACTCCATGTTCTCTTTCCACTCATGTATTTTTCAAATGGAGCCAGAGACATTCAACGTGACCTACAGCTGCCCTTTAAATCGGCAGCTCTCCAAAACGACTCTCAGTGGCAGCCTTCACCAGAAAGCAGAGGCAGCAGCACTGACCGGTCCCGCTAATTCCTCCTAACCTTGGCTTCCACTTCCTGGTAACCACCATGACACTGGACCCTCACTTTCCATATTAGTTTCTGATCTCCAGTCTGGTGGTCTACTAGGCTTTCCTTCTCTGCCTTAGTAGAGTGAGCCTCTCTCTTAATCTTTGGCTCCTGACTCATCTTCAAATGCCATCATTGGCCACACCTTTGAGGGCAGAGACTCTCTTGATCAAGTCTTGATCCATTTACAACCCATCCCCCAGTATACCTCTAAGAGAAGTAGAGTTAAACCTAAATTTTTTAAAAGGAAAAAATAATCTTTATAGAATTAGACAATTAAGTATGGTAATTTCCACCCACTCTTATCAAGTAGTTTAGTATTTATTTTGTGCATTTAGTACTATAATAAGTACTTCATTCCCTAAGTTTCTACCTAGGGTTCCATCTTACATACATAAGATAGAAAGACATTTATAGAGGGCTCTGTGCTAAAAAAAGCTTTTTTGAAATCAATTTTCAATGCTGCATAATAATTGTTTTTTAATGTTTTTAATATAAGCAAAGTGAAGCGGGTCTTGAAAGAAAATCTAATCTGCATACTCATTATTCAGAAAATAAAAAAACAGATGTAGGACTTGCAATAGAGGTGGGATAGTACAATGGTTAAAACGTACAGGCTCTACAGTCAAATCTCTTATGCTCAAATCTCAATTAATACCTATTAGCAGTACAAACATAGACAAATTTCTTAACCTTCCTCTGCCTCGGTTTTCTTATCTGTAAAATTGGAATTATTATGATAGCAACTGATACTTAGGGTGTTATGAGAAGTGAACGATAAGGTAGTAAGGCATGAGAAGTACTTAGAATAGGGCCTGGCATAGAAAGTGCTCGGTGACAATTACTATAGATGGCAACAGCTCCATGATCAATTTTATCAGCAACTCACCATCT